GGTGATGGAGAGCAGAGGATGGACTCTATGATGCCGTGTAGAAGTAGACCATCATCGTCTTTGTCAGGTTGAATTTCCTCTGCTGCCACAGGAAGAACAACCTCCGGAAACTCCGTACTAACGCCCACTTTGACCGCTAAGAACCTCGGCGTCACACTCGACAGCCAACTCTCCCTGACTCCCAACATCACCGCGACAATGCAATCCTGTAGATGCACGCTCTACAACATCAGGAGAATACGTCCCCTTCTCACTCAGAAGGCAGCGTAGGTACTGACCCGCCTGGACTACTGCAACTCCCTCCTGGCTGGTCTCCCTGCCACCGCCATTCAACCTCTGCAGCTCATTCAGAATGCAGCAGCTCGACTGGTCTTCAACCTTCCGAAATTCTCCCACACTACTCCACTCCTCCACTCTCTTCACTGGCTACCGGTGGCTGCCTGCATCCAGTTCAAAACATTGGTGCTCGCGTACCATGCTGTGAATGGATCGGGTCCAGCTTACATCCAGGACATGGTCAAACCCTACATCCCAACCCGCACTCTCCGCTCTGCATCTGCAAAACTACTCGTCCCTCCCTCACTGAGAGCAAACACTCGACTAGATCTCGACTCTTCGCTGTCCTTGCGCCGAAATGGTGGAACGAGCTCTCTGAAGACACCAGGACCGCAGAGAGCCTCCACATCTTCCGCCGCAAACTAAAGACACACCTCTTCAGACTCTACCTCGACTAAAGACTAACAAATTGTAGCACTTAAATCGTACTTGTAACGTCACTCATCTATAGCAAATTGTAAATTGACTTATTTGAGGAAATTGCACTTTCTTGTTTCTTGTTCTCCTGAGTTTGTACCCTATGGTTGAATGCACTTATTGTACGTCGCTTTAGATAAAAGCGTCCGCTAAATGACATGTAATGTGATGTAACCTCTGCTGAGCCTTCTTGGTGATGGAGCTGATGTTCAGCTCCCACTGGAGGTCCTGGGTGATGATGGAGCCCAGGAAACGGAAGGAATCCACAATAGTGACGGGGGAGTCACACAGGGTGATGGGGGAAGGTGGGGCTCTGTTCCTCCTGAAATCCACAACCATCTCCACTGTCTTTAGAGCGTTGAGCTCCAGGTTGTTCTGGCTGCACCACGTCACCAGATGGTCAGACTCACACCTGCAGGTGGACTCATCCCCACCAGAGATCAGTCCAATGAGGGTGGTGTCATCCGCAAACTTCAGGAGCTTGACGGACTGGTGACTGGAGGTGCAGCTTAATATGAGCATACAAATATTACACTCAACAACAACTCAAAATAAACAAAATATTTTTGCCTGAAGTTGCTGAAGCATTTTCGATTGAATGTAATTTTCTGTAGGTAAGGTAAAACAGCTGATAAATGATTCCGTGCCTTTAGTTATCTCGGTTGTGAAAAAAGTATCGTAACCACAAGATCACATTATAAAATATGAAAATGTCAGCTGCATTACTGATGCAAAGCCACTTCCCACACTTCCTGGTTTAGTACACGAGAGGAAAGAGTTTGCAGAAACACGTGACATTCAGGCAAAGCTAAACATGAAATGTAAATTGTAGAACACGGACAAACATTGACCTGTTGCCTTTCCATTGCTAAAAACCTTTTAGAATGCAATAACCACTCAAAGATTTAACCTTCCTGGTGAAAGTGTGTCCAGAAATGTTTTATTTATTTTTAGTTTAATGTTTGTAGGCATGATCTATGGATGAAGTACAGAATAAGGTCAAGGATACAAGATCTCACCGTGCCACTCCAACACCCGCAGATTACACATGTGCTTCCTCCTGCTGGCCATCCTGTTTCCTTTCAGTTGATGCACTCCCAGCATCATCGTAATAGTAGTATCCATTGACCTAGTATTCAGTTACACAATTTTGCCATTAGTTATTTACACAGATATATAAAGAAACTCACCTGGAGCAGTCAATGGCTTTGGGTCTGTCATGATAAACTGTGACACTATGATAAATATCAAAAACCCCACCTAACACGTGATCTCCCTCCAGCAGAAGCTCTGACACCATGTAGAAAAACTCCCAGAAGACACAGATAAGCAAGAAAATGTTTCATTCAATTACCTTTCAGCAATCTGATGTGAACTCAGTAGTGTCACTGTTTTACTGAGCAATGCGATGCTCGTAACAACAAACTCCCCAGTGTTCATTTACATGCATATGGGATGCATGATGACAGACGTCATAAGTGATTACCTGTTAATGGTTGGAGGAGAATAAACAAATCATTATGCAAAAAGGATTTAGGCTGCACTCACTTGGCAATGAACAATGTTTAACATTACGAGGAAGAACACAAGTAAAGTCAGTCCCTCTCTCATGAATAAATCTGGTGCTAATCGATCCTGAACAAAGATGACAAATGCACCATTTACAATGCTTCAGTTTGTTACAGGAAGTTACAGGAAGGGCTAAGACCATTTATTTAATGACACACAACTGAGTCAGTTTGATACTTATGTGGTTGATGGAGTGACAATTTATGCTTGCAACTTGTATCCATGCTAAAGTCTATACTTTCAAACTGAGACAAGCATGCTTGATCGACACAACAAGGAAAAACAGGAAAACCTTTGAATAAATAGAGTTCATGATTTGGGAATAAGGCTTTGTAAGAAGGGTTGGCCATCAACTCCTGCAAATAATATATTTATTTCTGAAATGTTTTAATGTTTAAATGTTTTCTTTATTTGCCTCCTCAAAATGAAGAAGTTCACATCCTTCTGGCAGGTCGTGGACGATGATGCCTGTGATTAACAAATAACAGACAAGACAACTAACATTATTTCAGTTAAAACTGTTTATGTTGAATAAGCACAAGTCAGCAGCACCCTTAATTCCTCACAAATATAAGCTTACATAGTTATTTGTATACTTACATTTAGGTTTAGGTAGGCGTAGGTTTGCATTGTGGACTAGTCACGACCAAAGTTTGGGAAAGACCTCCTTGTCCCCACCAATATTTCACTTGCCTGTAAGAAACAAATGTGCACAATATATTTGCAAACTCATTCCTATTAGTTATCTATTCTATGTTCATTGTATAGAAGAGTAAAACATAGATTTCCAAGTGTTCCAACGCATCCTCAACAAGATGCTGTCATTTGTCAGAAAATCGGTGAATCGTCCATCGTAGAAATTCTTACACCGTCAGTACAATACAAAGTAAAGTTGAAAGGATTCAGTCTTGTGTTTTGAGGGTAGATTTAGTTTTTTGACTGCATTACGTTGTTGGGGTGTTTATGTCCAGCTTATATATGTGTTTGTTTGTTTCATATCCACCTGGTAAAACGGTGTTCTATTCCCACCACATGGGATAGATACTAAAAGTGTCCTATGAGGATGTGACCAGCATGGATCAGATTAGTCTGGGAACAGGCGCATGCACAGATTGACCCCTAATGGTGCTTAAGCACCTGCCCTTTTGCCCTGGATGAGAAAAGCCCCCCTTCTGCTGTAGCCCAATATTTTATTCATTCATCAATATTTAATAGTTTAGTTATTGTGAAATTTTGGCCCCGACATTTGGCGCTAACAAGCCCCGCCCCTCCCACCTCCTCCTCCTCCTTCTCCGCCGTTCGGCTGCAGCATCAAACACGCAGGTGACGACGGTGTTTGTGCAATCCCACCCGACGTTGTTTGGTGATAAATTAACCACGTCTTTAGCGCCGCTGAAAACATTACATCGCAACTGGTCCGATGTTTCCTAGAAAAATGAACAAATAAAAAACAAACAGAAATCCGTGATTTCAAAGCAGCTGTTTGCTGACGTTTGCCATACAGATACAGGCAGGCAGCCAGACAGACAGGGGATTTAAAGGCAGTAATACTGTATTCTAATAAAAAGTTAACTAGTTTTGTTTCATTTAATTCACTTATTGAGATGAAAGGTAGGTCTTAATTTGACCTTTTCATGACGGTCTGTGGTGAGTGTGCTATATTATTAGTGTAATGCCGCTTATGCTTCAAGTGTCAGAAGACAGTAAAAAAAACCGTGTGTATGTGTTGTCAGCTTTATAGAGATTATGTAACTATAACTCACTATATATCACTATATATACACTATATATCACTATATATATATTGTTATTTTTTTTAATTCCATGAATAATTGTTTTGGTTTTGGTTTGAGCACCTGCCCCCAAAAATGTCTCAAATCAAACGTTTGTTTTAGTTTTTTCTTTCAACTATCATACTGTTTCAAAGTGTTTGAATCCATTTCCTTTGATTGATGCAAGCAGAACTGGTAATTTGGGTTCTATATTGGATTGATTAAATGTTTCTCATAGACTGCATGTTATCATTTTCCTGCTGCAGTTATAAACAAACTTGATTTTGCCAACTTAAGGGTAATTAAAGGCTATTAAACAGGCTGTGT